AAGGGATTAATTCGCGAAACAGCTTTGGTTTCAATCTTTATCAGTCATTTGAAGTTAGGAAAAAAAAAAAAAAAAAAAAAAAAAAAACAAGCTTAGTTTAGCGTAGATTTTCAATAACTTTAGAATTTTGAAAGTGACCAGACAGAGATTCTCGCTTCTTCAGGAGTAAAATTATTTATGAAGAAATTTCTCCTGCCCCCTGAAATAAAAATTCTCTGAAAACATCTACGTCAAATTTAAGTTGTTTCTTCTAATTTTAAAATTTACATTGCTTTAAATTGTCGACGTCTTTTCCAATAAGGGATGTCCTCTGAGTATTAAGATTTAGTGTACAGCAACGGTCAAATAATTTTCAGAAACGTTATGAGCAGTTCATAAACAAACTTTTACATTTGCCTGATTGAAATTCTTTGATATCTACACTCTTTCCTACACTCTTTTCCTTACATTCTTTTGGAAAAAAAAAAAGCGTATTTAAAAAAATAACCCCATCTTCTCGAAATTTTGTATGCACATTCCTTCGCACCAACTATGCGAATGAATAAACTTTGAAAGCCATTTAGTGTTAACTTTGCTCATAGCGCAATTATATTGCACAACTAGCATCGTATATAACAACTTCAGATGGTTTATTTATTTATTTATTTATTTATTTTCCCTCATTGTTGGCGATGCAGTTCTCTGGAGACGAAAACGATAATGCCGTTAGTTGTCGAAGACTATTGGACTACTTCGAATGAAGTCACATAGTAAGAGTGCATGAAGCGGCTGGTTATGGAACAAATAACAGTTGCAGATGGCTTATTTTTTCTCGTTGTTGGCGACGCAGTTCCCTGGAGACACAAACAATAATGTCGTTACGAAGTTGTCGAAGACAATTGGACTACTTCGAATGTGGTCGCACAGTAAGGATGCATGAAACGGCTGGGTATACCACAAAAATAGACAACCGCCACCTGCAACGTATAAAAACGGCTGAGCAAAGGTGCTGGCAAGAATGATTGCTGCAAGGTACTCATCGGCGGAATCAAGTCTCTAGAAAGCGCAGGTACGCGACTGGCGAAACAGGGTGGATGGTTCTGCGACAGGCCCAAACTGCTCCAATGGTATCATTGTCCACTATTCAACGTGCTGAAGCCTTTTCCATACTACGCGTGGCACATTCCACCATTTCATGGCGCTTTGCTGAGATGGGGTTGCGCTCACATCTGCCTTAAGACGTCTACCTTTAACCCCACAATACCGGTAGAGTCGTCTGTAGTGCTGTCATAGCCGGTCATCATAGCTGCATATCATACTGCTCAGCGATGAATCCCGCTTCGATTGCGTGCTTTTGTGGAAGGACCAGGGCCAGCGGTCCGAGTCAGCCTATGTTTTAAAGAGGCACACAGCCATTGCCCCAAGTGTGATGGTGTGGAATGCTATCTCTTATCACAGTAAGTCGACTTTAGTCATCCTGCAAACAACTTTAACAGCTCAACGATATGTTGATGACATCGTGCGGCCGTTGACATTCGTGGCACAACATCCTGGAACCGTTTTCCAACAGTAAGGTTAGATCCCATCCAGCTTGCATATCTCTGAGCTGTTGATATTCTTCCTAGGCTAGCAAGGTCACTAAGCCTTTCGCCAATCGAACTTACATGAGATATGGTAGACCCCACCCTAAAATGTTGCAGATCGGGAGCAGCAGTTGAGGAATGCCTAACAGAATGTATCGCAGGATGAAAAATTAGAAATCTTTATTACTTTCTTACTTCAACATTTACAAGTATGCATCGCCACCAGGAGGAATTTCTTCAGGTACTGATTTGAACATTCAGAGTGCAACTGTTAACCACTGATGGGTCCTACAGCCTTGAATTTTTAATCATTTCATTCCCAGTGCATGAGCTTTATGCGCATTTAATTTCAATAAGAGTCACTTTCTTCATGATGTTTCTTTTTTTTTTTTAATTTGCACAAGAATGAATTTATGTATTTCTAGTTATATTTATATTAAATTAGTTAAATTTCAACGCTGTTTTATTGAATTTCGTCGTCAAATTGTTATCAAAATAATCGTGGGTGAACATTACCAAATTAAGCGGCGTCTACTGTACTAAATAATCGTGTTATTTTAAGTGGAAAACTGAAGCCATCAAATCACCCTTAAAACATCAGAAATGTTATTAACATAGGTCGAAATACTTTGTTTAATTGTTAGGATTTTTAATTTTAGCTTTAAACTCCGCAACACATTATAACATCAAATCTGCTAATATTCTCGACTTTTTTCTTATAAAAAGAAATAATGAACTTACATTGTATATCTCTGCTTTAGAGCATGATTCAATAGGATTTTATTTTAATGTTATGTGCCATGATAGAATGCATAATAAAGCCTTTACTGCAAATAAGTTGAGATAGGCCAAAGCTCTTACACTTTTTTAATGAATTGATATTTCAATTAAGAATTTAAATTTTTTTATGTTGAATGCATACGCATGCTACGAAGAATAAAATAGGCTAGGAGTTCTTTCCAAATTGGTCATCTAAACTGCTCCTTATCGAAGGATGGTTTTCCCATTCATTATACAATGAAATTATACATAAAATTCTGCTATATCATTATCAATCCGATTTTAGTTGAACGTGTATCAGAAGATAAGAAGTCAGAGTACAATGTGAGAGGGTCATTTTGGAATTATAATCAAGAAGATAGCACTTCTTCATAACATTTTGGGGAACTTTAAAATTTTAAGGCCAAACCAATTATGCTCGGAGGGTTAAAACCACAAATGCTGCCAACAGGACTTTTTAAAGAATTGGATGATCTCAGGTCTCTAAACCTATTCAGAAATTAAATAGAACTCGTGCTGAAAAACAAAAGTAAGCAAACAAGTTTAATTTTATAAACTCTTTCACGAAAAATTATTATTAAAGCCAGGTACTTATATGAAATTTTAAACTTCGCAATCAAATTATTTCGTCCTGTAAATGCCCTTTTAATGTCCATAGGATTTTGTTTTGAGGTTTCTCGAAAAGCAGAATTTTTAAATAAAATTCTTGACTCTATGTAGGATATCCAGTGTCATATCAACTTGCATTATTTATAACGAAATCACATTTAAACAGAAAATTCCAGTCTTTTTAATTGCGATTTTGGGCTACATTAAAAACTTTTTGGAAATTCAGCTGCTGACAGACTCATCATAAAATACTCGAGAAAAGACCACTTAAAGCTGTTTTCAAGTATTTTAATATTACAGGTCTTATGTTCAAATCGGGGTATTTTCTGTTTCAACACGTCGGAGTACTTTCCGAGACATGTTGAAAAAACTTCTTGCATTCCTCTTATTTTCACATTTGGTAAATCTGATGACTTGCCTACCTCCGGCTTCTCTCTTAATCTGCTCTATTGGCTGACAGATCTACTAGAAGCAGATGCTCTGAACAGACTTGGAGATTTCGCGAAAAAAAAAAAAAATAATAAATGAAGAAAGTCTGAAACCTTTCAGATTTTATATGAAGCACAAAGGGGCGTTTTTTTAACGTTTTGTGTGTTACCTTTATTTATTAAATATCAAAGTCTTCAAACTTAAGGAGTAAAATTTAATTCAACAGCAATATCACTAAATATTAAAAAAAAAAGCACATCTTTAGAATTTCTGATACAGTCTCGAACGCTGGAGATAATTTTTTTTTCCGTACAGTGTTGCCATTGCTCACTTTGAAATCGTTGCGTTTGTTAATCAAAAATTCGCTAAAGTTTTACGAATAGGAAATATATAATAAAACTAATTCCAGATTCCAAATTTGAGCTTCCAGATGCCCATATTCGAGTGGAGGAGTACGTTATTCAACATTTTACGTGCCGTTTTATAGTGGACGATACAAAATACCAAAACGAAATTAATAGCCCTTCTGAGCAAATTGCCCTTGGGTTAATTATTTTTTTAATTAGTTCTAAGTTTACCAGAAACCACAGTCAGTTTAGCCCTTCTTTTGTCAGCAATTGATCGATCACATAATATACTGTAATTCATTGTTTCTCTCCTGGAAAAAAACTCCATCACTGGAGTGCTCCCCTTTTACTTAAGGCTACCTGTAGAACCTAAAAGGACGAACTAGCTGAAGATACAGAGTTTATACGAAACTAACAATAGAATATGTTTCCCACATAAGAACGGTCTAATCATCCCCCACCCCGCATAGTCTTATTAACTGTTTATGGGACAATGCTGTATGTTTAGTGAAAGTGAAATCATGCAGCGGAAATCTTCATGAAGTTCACATAACTTTACTAAAGCGTAAAGATAAGCTTAATGTAAATAATATCTACGACTATAACTTGTATTTATGTATATGCAAACAAATGTTTTTCATGCAAAAGAATCGAATAGTTAAAAACGAAACTTGTTATAGATAATAACTGTGCTTTAAGTACCTACTTGTATTTGCGTTTTCAATGACCTTTGCAATCATTTACGATTGTAGTGTCTGTAATTCTCAGTGTAGTTTGAAGAATTTCATAATTATTCCCGCTACTCAACATATGTGAATGAAAATTAAATTTAAAATTATTTCCGAATATTATGTTTCCTAGAATAGCATTAGAAAAACATTCTAGATACCCGCATTCTCGTACAATTGCTTGACAATAAGGTAATCGAAGGATATGCAAGCGGCAAAGGTCATGAAGCCATTTGTATAAGAAAACGGATGCCTTCACAAAGGATTTTGTGAGAGAAACTGCTTCATGTTTATACATGAGAAAACCCACGAAAGCACCCGCTGAAAGAAATCTATACCCGACTTGTAAATAACTAAATGTAACACGTTATTAATAATTCGTATTTATTTGCGGTTGTTTCTATTTCTTTCTTATTACTGCTTAAAAAATGCGCAGATAACTTTTCAGTTCTCGTACATGTGAAAGCATGAGAAAATGCAAGAGAAAAAAAATTGAGTTGGCAACAAGAAAAATGTTTTAATGTGTAGTAATAAAACAAGTAATATTCTAAACACAAAGCGATTTATTTTAATTCTTATAATCTTCGCAGCATGATGATATACATAACAATTGCAGGAGGGCTAGAACCCCGTGGTATGCACTGAAAAGAAACAAAAACAAAGTAATTTGAAACAAACAGAAATTATCAGTATTCGTATACCATGCACTAAAAAAAACTTTAAAATTAGACAGTTCACAGTTTAGTCGAAGGCTTCCCAACCTCTCTTTCTCTTGTTTAAAAAAAAGTTTTCGTCGACTCCGTTAGATTTTTCGGTTAATCTTTGGATTATGGTAACTTGGCGATTTTTTGGCGAAAATTTGGCGACCAACCCTGCTACAAACCTGCTAGTTTTTTTGGGGGGACGCCATTTTGTTTTTACTTCGTAAAAACATTTTTTTTTTTTTTTTTTTTCAATAATCTGCTAGCCGAATTACGCTTATGCTAGAACTTTTATGGAACAAAAGTGCTTAATCATGACGAAGATTAGGTGCGAAATTGGGAGAAAGTGCAGAATCGTCCACTGCTTGCCGCGTTTTTAAGAATTGCACATACACGGTATCCATGTTTACGTGGACCTATTTTCACTTAAAAAACATCCCAGAATTTCACAAAAATGGCATTGCGCACACTCTCGACTTTACCCACGTACACTGCTAAAGTCCTAGCTAGTAACCTTTATCGCCTTACCAAAATGTCGACAAACTACCTGTTACCATATTCCAAAGATTAGCCGCATATGTTTTGAATAAGCCTGGACATATTCCTTCAAAGCAATCAAGAATTTTTGTGTTATAAGATCAAACAAATCGCAATTCAACGGTTCTACGAGCCATGTTGGCACATTCAAATTTTCGATGTCTTGGAAGCAAGTATTAAAATCTTTTAAATTTTGCAAGTGGCTTACATACATATAACAACGTTCTTATGTTTTACTTCTTCACACTGCACTTTTCGCATCAAAAATGTTACATGACTTCTAAAGTAATTGTTGACTTTTAAAATGTATTAAACAATTTTTGTGTAGTTTTCCATTATATTTATTTTATATGATTTCTACAGTACTACGTGATGTAGCTTTATATCAATAAATAATTAATTACAGGCTTATCGAACGTTCTGATATGACCGGTCTTGTCCCTATTTGATGATGTTATATGAGATGATTTTATATGCGTGGAAATAAAGACTGGAAATTCATCAAGGTTCATGTTTTGTCATCTTCATCTGTAAGCCTTCAACCTCATCCACGACGACTGCAAGCTGATTCCTCTTCTATGCTTCCGAAAATATTACATACATATATATACATTTTTGTGTGTATATGCACACATAAACATACACGCACAATTAAATTTAGATACAAAACGAAACACAAGCACTTACCTACGACATTCCTCAGAAAAGCATTAGTCCCAGAAAGTAATTACCCTCTAAATAGTCTTGATATGGATTGAAAGCATTGCCTCTGAAAAGTGAAGGTCGGTGGGATTCTGGTATCCTATCATTCAGTCCGTGATCTCTGTATCTCAAACCAGTTTCGTAAGGTCTATACGATGGTGACGTGACAAGAGGTTTATATTCTCGAAGTAGTGCATCAACAGGTGATAATCTGCCAGCTTGTCTTCTGTACATTCCGTTCGTAAAATCGGAGGCGGAGTTCAGTTGTTCTGGCCCACTGTAAAGTGAAGCAGAATATCCAGGGAAAGAATGGGTTCCTTGGTGATTATAACTTAATGCTGAGCTCAGAGCTGACAGCACAAATATCTAGAGAGGGGGGGAAGTTCAGGTTTAAACATGTTTATTTTCAGTATTCTTAATTTTACGTATTAATAATTACTTTCAAACAGCTATTATTATTTACAGTAGCTAAAACTGTATTTACAATAATTACAATTGTCAGGCTATGACTTATAATAATTTCACACATTCATTTACAGAACTAACATTGATGTAATGTAGCGGCCCTGGATAGTATGATAAGTCTCAACGGGCAGCCCGCGGACTGCATACGGTCTCCGAAGGAATTTTGTGAGGCCCATGAATAAATTTCTAGGAAATTAATTAATATTATTACGACATTAATTATTAGATAAGGGTATGAAGAAAGGTATAAGAGATATTTGCTGTATACATAAGCTTTGCATTGCGTTGTGTTTAATGTTCTTAGTAGTTTGAAGTGGTAACTACTGATTGTGCTATGTGATACTGAAAATAGCTGTACGAGTATTTTTGTGAAAGTTGTAGAACTGTAAAGTGTTTCTTTTGGAAAAATAATTACTCTAGGTGTTTTTTTTTTTTTTTTTTTTTTTTTTTTTTTTTTCCTCACAGCAATCGAGTAAAAAAGTCTTGAGCCACTGAATGATTTATCTCAGTTTATTGGTTTTCAAGAAAATTTCCAGAAGTTTCGAAAATAACTTTTTTTTTAAGTTCCACCTTTATTGTTAGTATGTTAGTACAAATATTGAATGCAACCGAATTTATAGTATATTTAAAACCATACTATAAAAAACAAACCACCTTTTTTTTTATATCTTTTGCGTTAAACAGCAGTTGAAAGAATGACATTTTTCACTCAGTATTAGACTAGGATCTCTGTAAAACAACGGCACCACTGCATCGGCGATAAAAGTGATATGGCTATAACTATCACCAATGAACTTTACCTTGAACAATGAACTAAAAAAAATACCTTTTTTGTATTTTTTCCCCCTTCTTCAGCTATAGACGTTTTCTGTCACAGTAACGGCCTTCTTTGACGGACTCGCCCTTGCGACTGGCAGGTAGCAATTGACGACCACTGCTGGCTGGAGATCCAAATATTTCCGGGTGGTGCGCCGCTCCTCTGAAGAGGTAATAGTGAAGGTTGAACCTCCACGACGTGAACCAAAAGAAGAGTGGACCCGTAGTGTGATTAAGTTCACGGAACGGGAAATGCCCATATGTTGTTGTCACAATTATCGTCCCCCGTTGGGTTGACTCAGGCGAACGCCTGAGAAGTACTGGTTAGGATCTGTACCTAGGCAGTCTCAACCACGGAGGGTATATAATTTGACTTCACAGGACTAGAACCCGAGCATTGTACTCAGGTTGGTTCAGGCTTGGCAGGGACCGTACTGGTACTGTCGTGTCTGTTCCTTTGACTGTGATGGAGCTATATCGGAGATCGTCGACTGAGTCCCCGGGGGTTTGACCCCATTCAGTTCTCGTGGCGGGGACTGACAGAGTGGATAGAGCCAACACCTCCTTACACATTTTTGCCGATGAAGTGGTGCCCGGAGGCAAGGTGACAGAGGTTTTGATTTTGCAACGTTTTAGTTCTGCCCAATGCTTTGTAAGAACCGGACGGGGACTGTGGAGGTTGCGCCCGCCAGGACGAGGTCCACGGACGACGGATATTCCAAACTCTGTATGGGTCCTCTAGAATATGGACCTGGGTCAGAGGTCCTTCTTCTAGTGTGTCTGTCACAGTTATGTTTTCTCAGTAGATATAAACTATTTATAATCAAAGGGAAAAAAATCTTACGACAGAATATGCATGGATCTGACAGACATTTCTGGAAAGATTAAATTCTCGATATTGTGCTATCTTTTAGCCAGCCCATACCCTCATCTAACACGTTCTGATTATTTCTTAAGCGAGTACCTCAAGCAAGAAGTTTCTTGAACATGTACCACAGTATTTGACTTCAAGAGCCTCATTCAGAGCTGCCGTCACTTGGTGGTTTGCTTGGTGTGGAAGAGTCATAGCAACAACGCCTCTAAGAATAAGGCCTGAAGCAACACCATCTCGAAGAATAACTGTCTAGAAAGCGATAGCTCAGACTATTTAAAAATATTGGCCATGGACGACTTCCGTCGCAGTTTGAAAGAATGCGTGGCGAAGCGGAACCGGTATTGACAAAAGTCCAAACACTAATCGATAAACGGCAAAAGAGAACAGAAGGTGATAATTAGTGCATCGATTACCGCGCGTCCAATTCTACGAGATAATGACGACCAACACCTTATATAGGAAGCAACTTATAAATTAAATTCATGTAATTGCTATTTGTCATAGAACATAATAAATAAAGAACAGTTATTTACCGGTGGTATGATATTTATGCATTACGAGCTCTGCCGAACTCTATAGTTCTCATTTATTTAGTTTATATTGCATCTTTACAATTAAATAAATGTATATTTTTTCAGTTTCGTTAAATATTTTATGTCTATTTTATTGCTTCTGGAATAATCTCGATTTAGCAAAATTTATCACTGGTCGGGGCGATGTATTAAATCCAGATGCGGCTAATATTTTAAGATATTATTCATATTAAATCCTTTCTGTAATTCAAAAGAATAGAAAATATAAAAATAATTAAAATTTTATTAATATCACCTCATACCCTTTTATTAAATTTTTATTTTTATTTTTTTTTCCAGTAAGAACGATAAATGAAGATAAATAGGACTTTAACATAGGTAAACCAAACATAAAGAGAAACTTCTGCTACAAATTTCCAGATTTTAAAAAAATCATTTTGTTAAAAAAAACCTCTACTTGTTGAAACTTTATAGATTAAACATGATTGCAGTTTATCTAAGACGTAAAATCTGAGTAATTCAAAGACACTTCTCTTTCATATGCTATAAAAAATTATTTAAAACTTAATGCTTTAGATCAGGCTTTCTTAAACTATGGGGTCGCAAAAATTCAATTCGATAGTTGAATTTAAAGAAACTGCATTCATAAGACTTTTGAAGCAATTACATTAATTTACATTAATGAGATTAGTCTTTTAAAGACATTACATTAATTTATATAAATGAAATTAATTACCTGTTATATAAAGTGCAAAAGAAATTTGTAAAGTTGTTTAGCAATTGAAACTTAAAACTTGAGTTTTCGCAAAAATCCTTGATGAATTTTGAACCGGAGTTAGAACTAAATTTCTCACTATTTTTGAAATGGCATTAAATGTTCTTGTTTCATTCAGCATCACAGATTTTTATAAATTATAAGAACTAGATGGAATTTAATTCTGGCATGTTTTTATTATAAAAATTACTTTAAGGAATTTTGTCATCTTCGTCTTCGCTATTAGATTCACTGTATGTAATGACAGTAAATTGGCATTTACTATTACATATTTTGCAAAAAGGATCATATTTAGAAATGTCATACTTAGCAACACCGTAATTAATCTATAAACTTAATGAAAACTAATTTTCGAATATTAGCATTTGAAGAGGATTAAAGACAGAATTGTCTGCTTACAAAGCAAAAAACTGCTCTAGGAATACTAATTCTCACGTAAAGGGCAAATGCACCCAGGAAATTTTATTTTTCTAGATGCTGAAGATCATATGAAATAGCTTGTTAAATAGAGGATGCATGGGAAAATTAATCTTAGTTTGTCTACTAATTTTATCAAATAGATGTTTCAACTTTTATTCGCTTAACAACCATTTGGAAGTATGTTGAAAGTCATTCAAAAGGAGTTTATAATTTACAGCCGTTTAGAATTTCTATTTCAGAACAGTAGACAAACTTAAATTTTCACTGCAAGGTTTCCAATTTATCTGTTATTTAGAAAAATATTTAGAGCAGACATTAAAAGTATAAAAAGAATATGCAAACCATGATATAAATCATTAAGAAAAACAATATCTGATGACTTCCTTGTACGGCTACATGACTTCTTTGTACGGCCATTGTACACGATATGAACATTATTTGCAGAATTTCATTTAAACATAAAACACCAAATACAGTTAAAGACAGCTAAGAGAAACAATTTTTACCATTAAAAATGGAGTTTCTACGCAAAAATAAGCAATTCGGAGAACGGGCAAGATAACAGATTTTTCGGTGCATAAAATTGGAGTTTACTTTTTGTTTACTTTACTTTTACTTCAAAAGTTTACTTTTGGTCCCACTTTGCAAAAAGACGCTGAAGTTGGCACACAAACTGACTTAATTCATTATTCTATTAAGAGTTTGAAAATGTAAACAAATGGCGACCTCGTTAGGTTTAGCATCACTCAAACTTTTAAACTGTTGATACGTGTAAATTAACTAAAGGCATCATAAAAACATTTATTGAAACATAAGAACAATATAATTCAATCACTTTTAGGGAAACAAATGCACAATTTACCAACATATAAGAATAAAATAACTGAGCTCACCAACATGGGTAACAAAGATGGCATGTGCGGCCATTTGCAACCGAAAATAGGAAATGCACAACTAATTCCCACAAAGAATATTTCAACGTTATAAGGCTAACGTTTTTGAATTACGCGGGATACAGACGCCACGAGAAAATCTCTTCTGAATCCTTTTTAAATCCACTTTACAATCCGCTTTGTAAAAAAGAGTCTTTTATTCTACCCGTATATATAGATGTCAACGCAAAAACATCGTTCAAACGGATTCGAGAGCGATCAAAATGGATATTTTCTTTGAAATACAATACCCGAAATTTTTCGCGATTACAATGCTTCCTTTATTTCGTACAAGAAAATAAAAAGATTTTTACCTTACTTTTAACATTAAAGTTACCACATAAATTTCCTTACCGTGATCTTAAGAGTCAGTGTCATGGTGAAACGTTCAGAAAACCTATGTTCTCATAACAGAATTTACACGTTTATATATAACTCTTAATATAATGTCGAAAGTAGTATTTCTCAATAAAAAAATATAGTAGATTGTTTTTCGAAGAATAGAGAAAGAAGTAAATTATTTCTTTGCTGAATATTAA